ACATGTTCCGTGCCTGAGGAAGAAACTAGAGTGGTATCTGCTATCTGGCAAAAAAACCTCACAGGGGTAGCTTGGTGTCCACATCTAGTTTGCTGAGTCTTTGCTGCCCTTCCAGGTTCCTACCTCTGCTGAAGTGGGTAGAGGTAGGAAATTATGAGCACTTCTGAACTTGCATGCTGCAGAACCTTGGGAAACAGCAGCATGGTGAGGATAGAGAGAGAATGTCCTGCTGGTTACAGGGTGTGAACACATTCTTACGATGAGCAGAGATGGTCTCAGCCTGTGTCACCCTGCTGAGCTTTAATTTGTGATAGAAGATCCCCAGTTTTTCTGAGTTTCCAAAGGTGTTGCCAATCTTTTTTTTTCCACCTTCCAGAAAGCAGGTGCTGAAGATGCCAACTGAGAGCCAGTTTAGTGACCTTTGAGCCAGGAGAGTTTGCACCTGCTTGAAGGATGCTCTCGCAAGGTAAGTTGAATTATGAAAGCATCAGTACCCTAAGCTAAATTACCTGGCCCCAGATGGCGTTTCTAGCCCTGCAGAGCCTGGCTGATACCTGTCCAGAGCTGTGCTGGCCAACATGAGATGGAACTCATGCATTAACCCACCGAGTCAGCTGAAAGGTGCAGCTCACTGGCCGTGGAGGCTGCGAAAGGGGCGCCGTGCATGTTCTGACCCCATCTCTTCCTCTGTGGGGCATGCCAGTGAATGGGATAAAAGTTTGGTCAACAGACATCACTAGCAGAAATGGAAGTCTTTAAAAGAGTTAAGGATTGGGTACTTCTTCAGATATTCACCATTTGAAGAACGGAAGCTCCCAAATAGCCAGCATCACACGTGAGAGGCTTCAGGAGGCTTAATCAGGGTGCTGCTTGCAGGTTACCCTGGCCACAGGCCTCGCGTATTGTCATGGCATCAGTGGCATTTCTCCAGACAGTGCTTCTCCTTGGTGCTGGCTTTGTCAAAGCCCTGTCATGCTGCTGGCAGTGCACTGTCGCACATGGTGCTCTGCTCAGTGAGTGATTTGGCTCTTCTCCTTTCTTTTGTTTCTTGGGAATATGAGCTTGGTGTTTTTCTGGTGGCTTGGAAGAGGGAGCTGAGCTGTAGGTCTTGTGCTGAGTCTAGGGGAATGGGAGCCCTGCAGGCTCCGGAGGGAAGCTGGGAAGTCCCGTGAAGTCGGACACTGAGAAGGAAGAGAGTGGGTCTAACCTGGCATGGCAGCAAGGGCAGAGACCTGAGGTTTCTTCTGGAGATAGAGTTGTGGCCTGGGTGATTGAGCTTGTTTTTGAAATGTATTAGGCAATGGCATTTTCCACTGGGAACTCTTGAAGCCAAGCTCACCCCTTGGGGTATGTTCTGGGCATAAATTGTAGGCCATTGATCCATGCATCTTCCCAAAGCACCTGGATTGCTGATCTGAGGACTGCACATATGCCCTGCAGAGTGAAAACCAAGACCTGTGGAAAATGTTAAAAATAACACATGATGCAGTGCAGACTGGGACAGGAACAGAAACAGAAAATAGGAGGACAGCTAGATAAAGCAAGATGCCTGGGCTGCAGTGAAATCTGCAGCAGTGTTGCCTCTTGCACTGGCAGCTGAAGCAAGTGAAGCCTTGTGTTGCATAGCCACTCCTCAGTGCAGTGTAAGGGCTGCACCTGCAAGGGCTCTAGAGATGGTAGCAGGACAGAAGGAAGAGCAGTAGCAAGTCCTTGTTTCTCAGCTACACAGAAAAGGAATGTGCGTGTGGATTATCACTGCAAAAGAGAGAGAGGAGTTATTTATTTTCCTCCTATCCTCACAAAAATAAGTGCTTGAAAGGCTTTAAAACAAAATTCTATAGGAAAGTTGCCCTTAAGGGTAAAGCATAGATCAGGTAATTGGCAGTAAATGGAGCCAACGCTACCAGAAATGACCTCTGCTGGAATATGCTTGGAGAGGGATGCTGATGACTGAAAATGAGACCAAAGTGAGCAAGCAGTGGTCAGGAAAACATGCTCTATGAAGAAGACTGAAAAAATGGGGTTGTTTAGTCTACAAAAGCAAAGTCTGAGAGAGACAATGTGATTAATCCTCAGACATTTGAATGATTAATACGGAGAAAGGTAGCAATAGGCTGTTTTTCATGTCCATTCACAGAAGGAGAAGAAGAAATTAAATTAATTAGAAACATAGAAGATGTTGGGGATGGAGACATTGCCAGAGGAGAGGCAGAATCTTCCTCAATGGCAATTTAAGAGAAGAAGATAAAGGTCTGGAGGAGGTAGTCTGGCTTTCCTTACTGGGCCTCAGAGTAAGGAGATGGTCTAGCTGACTTCCTTCCTGCTGCATTTCTGTGGCACCTGTGACATTTATAGCACAAGTTTAGCTCCATTCTTTTTGAAGCTTGCTGCTGCTGGTTGTGACACATGCAAGCCAGGAGCTATTCGATTCAGGGGAGCTACTTAATCACCACACACGTTAAAATGATTTGACCAAAGTGAGCGAAAAGCAAGAATTGCCACTTGCACTGAGTAATAGCTATTTGTCAGCTTTAATAGCTGCTGTATAATGCACGGAGATAAAAGGCTACAAAAACTGTAATTTCTTTTCACTTTTTGATTTCTAAATACGTCACAACATGAAGTTGCTGAGCGTGTGTGATGTCGTCCACAACAGATAGTGGTTCTGCTGCCTTGGAATTGACAAAGTGGGGGTGACCCAAGCCACCAAATCCCTTCATTTTAGCAACCTGCTTTACAGCATCTGCATGTTGAGACAAGCAAAATGGAAAGGCTGGATGAAAGAAAAGCAAACCAGGATTTTTCTGGAGTTTATTTTGCTCTGTAATTTTTTAAAAAGGGGGTTTGTGGAAGTGACTGTTTCTGCTCCACTTGCAAGGCCTGATTTACCAGCTGCGCGGATCAAATATCACCTTTTTAACACACTCTGGTAGACCTATATTGTGTCTGATACCAAGGCTCTGGCTCTGCTTTCTGGATATTCTGGTCACCTGTATCTAACATCTGTCTAACACATCTTTGAGCATGTTTGTGGTTAAGCATGACAGAGAATTGCAGCCAACATGGGAACTAGGAAAGAGATACTGCCCGCAATGTTACTTCCACCACTGACTCTGCTTTCCCTGGCATGCAAAGGGGCAATCGCTGTCTGTGGGTCTTCTCAGGACTTGTTCCCCATCTGCAGTCTGGACCCTGCAGGAGGTGGAAGTGCTTTCCCTGAAGCTGCCAATGAAAGCTGGACACAAAAGTGCTCTCAGGGAAGCAAGTAGTCCAATATAGTGTCCTGTTGCTCCTTATTGAAGAGTATTGCTCATACTATTAAGGAAGTAATGGCACTTCATTTTCTTAATATTGTTTTTTATAAATTCTTTGAATCTAATAAAAGAGCTGAAATATCCAAGGCTACATTACTGCAGATTGAAAGGCACTAGAACAAATGTTTTACTTTGCTTCCTGAAAGATTCCAGTCTGTGTGACTTTCTTGATATATGTATTTTTATATATGAATATAAAAATATGTATAAAATAATAAATACTAAATGAGTACTAAATAAAAAAAAATTTAAAAAAAAACCCAAAACCCCAGAGGGAGCATTTCAAATAGCCCTGATAAATTTGATACCAACCCTTTGTAGTCTTTAATGTTGCACAGGGTGTTTGGCCTCTGGCTATGCTCCTGGGAGCCTGTGCCTTGCCCATTCAGCCAGGTATGCTGTCTGCATCTCTGCCATCCTCTGTGCAGCACGATGAGCCTGCAAAGGACCGTTCTGTGCTTTTTGCAGCCTTTTCTAGCCATGTTAAAGAATTTCCTGTTTTTTCTGCTGCACCCCTCCTCACAGAGATCCCTTAACCCCCCAGATAATTTTAGATCCCTGATCTGCCAGAGGCCCTGGCAGAGGAAGGGCTCTGCCATCTGGTAGCCTGTCACACCTGAAGAGCCCTTTGCCTGTGTTTGGAATGAGGAGTTATTTTTGATGCCGGTTCTGACGTTAGCCATGGATACTCCTGGAGTATTTCCAAGTTGTGTAAATGTCATTGTATCCTCTCCTTGGTTTTTGTTGGGTTTTTTTGTTTGTTTTTTTTTTTTTTTCTATTTTGTTTCTGTGCTTATGTCACTCTGCTTTCCACCAGGTTGGAAATGGAGAACATGCATCCTGCACAAGACTCATATTTCCAGACTTACTGCCTGTGGCTGCCCTCAGAGCACTGCCGCCCTGTTACAGTGAGCAGATGGGAGCTCTCATTAGGTGCTGTGCTGAGCCTGCAGTGTCACCGGTGTCCCTACAGCAGTATGGCAGAGTGCTACATCAGGTGAGTTCTGTACCAGTTCAGAGCCTGAACTGGTAATAGCTTTTGTTTCCAGATTCAGTGGTGTAATTTGTATCCCTCTCTTTTTTTGAGAGTAGTGCATTTTAGTTTGAATGACAGACACATAAATACATATCCCATGGTGCAGCTTTCAATCCTGTGGGAATAAGGGTAGTGGCATGAGTTAGCAGGAGGTCAGCTTTTACATCTGCTACAGTCTTCCTGAATGACCTCGGACAAGCCCTTCGATCTGTTTATGCCTCAGCCTGCCTCGCTCTGTAGATGAAAGAGGAAGGAAAAGGAAACCCCACCTCGCAGCCCTTGCTCTGGAACAGTCGGAGAAGATGCTCCCTTGTGCAGACATCAGCATCTGCTGTGCTAGGACTTAATGAAGGTCTGATCTCAGTGAGCTCTAGGAACAACTTACTGTAAACAATACCAATAAAAACACTAACACTCTGTATACTTTGTAATACACCTGCACGAGGCAACATCTGTGTGTGTTTAGATAAGCTGTAAGCAGCAGTATTTGGGCTTTGCACCAGCTGCTGTGATCAGAGTGCAGCTATCTGCTGGTTCCTGTCTGTGACGGTAGGTACGGGTGTGAACACCCCTTTGCGAGCGTTGCCACCTCCGTCTTTAGTGTCTGCTTTTGGCACTCTCATCTCTTTCATTCATGAATGAGTGGGTGAGGGAGGAGAGGGCTGGGCTGGGCTGACTCCTTTGCAGTTGAACCATAAAGAGCACAGGAGCTGAAACACAATCTCCTCCTCCTCCTTCCCCACGCTGTTTCACCGACAGCCTCACTCACAGCTGGGAGGAGGACAGCCTCGCCAGCAGCCTGAGCAGGAGCTGGGAGAAGGGAAGTTTTGTGCTCTTCACACTGCAGGGAAAACCTCTTCGCGCAAACTCTGCTCACAGGTGAGTTTCATTTATTATCTGTTCATTCTTAAAAACAAGTTAATTTTCCATCATTGAGCCAGGTTATACAAGGTTATGACCCCTGGAAAAGTGGCAGGACAGTTTTTTGGCTAGGCTGTTAAAGCAAAACAACGAGGCAGTCCAAGGGCTCAACCAAAGCAAAGTGTCCAAAAAAAATCACAACTTCAAAATTGATTTCCTTGGCAAGTCCCCATTAGTGGGAATTTTGAATAAAAGTTCTTCCAAAAAAACTTTCTTGAGTTCCACTTAGGCGCAAGGAGAGCTGAATGCTGAAGTTGTATTGATGAAAGGGAATTGTTAAGATAAACCAAGAAACTGTTTCGTGTTTGTGGCAGGGAAGTAGAGCAATAGCCAGTAGATAAATTCCAGTAGTCATTTTCAGAGAACTTAGTAGGACTGTATAGGTTGACTAGATATAAGCTATTTTGAATGACTAATAAGCAATTTAAATACTTCATTTCCCCTGAGAACACCAGCCAAAAGTTACACCTAACAGGAATCTGCTAAACCACATACCTTGGTGTGTGGGTGCTCTGTGTAGATCCATATAGATTTGTCTTTGGATCTCAAAACTATGTCATTAATACATTTTCCAAACACTAAGCCATTTTTCTTGGTGCTGTTCAGAACCTGACTTGGGAAACTTGGAATGTGAAGCTTTGTTTAGCAAAATGAAATCTATTTGGTCAGAAATGGATTCTCTTTTTTTTAATAGGATTAGAAACCTTTGTTCATTACGGTAGGTTGCCTGTGTTACGAGTACATTTTTCTGGTTCTTGACAGTCTTTGTAAAGCAGTAAGAAAAGTAAGTCACTGAGAGATCAGCTGCATGTGTGCACAGGGAGGGGAGCTGAGAAACAGAGAATTTAGAAGAACATACCAGCCTTGTCCTGTCCTTTTCTGTTCAGAACAAATGCAGATATTTATTAAAAATTTAAGGAAACTTAACAGTGAGGCAAGGAAAAATAGCTACATGTAGTCTCATAAGACGTGACACTGTCATTGTGAGCATTACGGGACTTTCTGAGCCGTCTGTTAATCAGCTCCCTCCGTGACTTTTTCCACATTAGCACACTGTGTTCACACTGGCTCCAGAAGAGTACGGTGTCTGACAACTTCTTCTTTCAAGTTTTCTTTAATCAAGAAGCCATTAAGAAGTGAGGCAATCCTATGTTTTTAACACCCATTCCACCATCCCTTTTCTGAGGAAACAAAATTTTTTACTGTCCTCATCCCTATCCTTCCTGCCTCCCTATCTTATTGCTGGTATGTTTTTTCCCCCATATCATGCCACTTCTACACATGCAATTGTAAGGTCTTTCTGTGGTATGAGGGAAGAGGCAGAAGGTAGCTGTTCCCAGCTCATTTTACACTTGGTGCTGTACAGCTGTAATTTAGATGATAACATACAAGGTACATCCCCAAAGTTTTAGGAGTAATTCCAGGGTCTGGGGAGTACACTGTGAGAAAACATTGGTTTATAGGATCAGACCACTATGTTGTTCCATGATAGTGGGGCGCAGCTGGAGGGGTGACGATGTCTACAACACAGTGTTGTGATTTGAATATCACAGTTTTAAATGAAGAAAGATGTGGCACTTCCAGTATCTCATGTAAAAAACCTTGTCTCCCTTAACATCTGCAGTGAGATGTAGTTATGTCACTTTGTGGCTGGTGGACAAAAATTGATTCCCTTTGTCCTGGGACTCTCACTCTGAGGAGTGTAAGCAATCCTAGACAGTGGGGAAAAGAGAGATGTGGGCAATGGGGAGAGAAGGGAGAGAAAAATTAGTCCCAGCTGAACCAGGTGTACATAGGTGTCATCATACCAAATGCGATCAAAGGGAGTGAGCTTGGGGGTGGCTGGTTCCTGCAGTCAGTCAGACTGGAAACTTCTTACCTGTGGCTGAATGCAGTTGCATGGGCACAGGCGTACAAAAGTGTGGGCATTAATGTAAGTTTTCCTTCCCTGACCAGCCCTGTGGATGTTGTCGCTCAGGTTAACCAGCTGATGCTGTAACTGTGAGTTTTCTTGGCATCCCATCGAGCAGTGAACAGAGAAGAAAATTTTTTCCCTGCCAGTTTTTCTAGACCTGACCTGAGGCTGCATTTATGTTGCCCTAGGGCTTCAGTCCTGCTGGCTGTTCTTGTGTCAGCGTGGAGATAACCAAAGGAAAAGTTATTTCGGAGTCCTGAGGACATTTACACAACTTGCTAATTATTTGTAAGTGAAGAACTGTGGAAAGATAATTCCAGACATGGTGGCCTTGAGAGGCTCATTACCTTATAATTAGCTGAATGCCTCCTCTAAGAGGTTTGTTTTTCCTATAAAGTTTATTCCGAGTGGCTTTTAATGCTTGTTATGAATTATTCTGCCAGCTGAAGCATTTGCAGAGCTGCTGTCCCTGACAGCTGATGGCAATTGGTTTTGAAAAGACACAGAACAGCTTTTAATGTTTAGAAGAAACTGGCCAATAATTTTAATTGAAGGTATTAGTAATCATCAGCATTTAAGAACAACATTGCATTTTATTCTCCGAGGGATACATCCACTGTAATTCCTTTTTCTCCACTGGAAACCATGTTCTGAACTCTGTTAATCTACTGGATAGAAAAAGGAAAATTTTCTAGGCACGTCATCTGGAAGCTGTAGCTAATCTGTCTGAAAAAGAAAAAGGACTAAATAATAGGTTTAAAACACTATTTTAGAGGAAGGTTGAGAAACGAGTTCACCTGAAAGTATACTCTGTTCTCCTCCATGGAGCCCTCTTGCCAGAAATTGTTTCTGTGGCAACAAATTTGTTTCCAGCTGGGTTGTCTTGGAGTTTGATCTGGGGTTTCTTAGGCTCAGATCTGTCACTGTGCCAGAGGTGAATAGAAATGCAAAACTGATCTGGTCTACAGGTAATGGAGAAGGCACTCTGCTGTTGTTACTCTTGCTCCAACAGAGATGTTCTCTTGACATTCTCCACTCAGAAATTGCTACAGGCAGCTATTGCTGGTAGGATGAGCTGAGCCTCTCATTTCTGAACATCGTTGCTTTATTCCACAAGCTTTCAAGCTGCCTTTCTCTTACGTTGTTTGCTATGAGTTGCCAGTAAAGACGTATGAGCTTTGAAGAGAGGTTAGATAGCTAACAGAGGAAGGCGAGATCAAAAATTAACGCATTACAAAAGCAACTGCAATCAAAATATCAAACTTAACTCACTTTAATGACACCTGAATAAAATGTTAAAATGGGCAACATCACCAGGAAGGAATGGAAATATTATAACAGAGATTTCTTGGTTTGTCTTTTTTATAAGTCAATATTTTAGTAACAATTAGAATTTGATCATTTTATATCTGGAAACATTTTGTCTTTCATCTGCCAAAGGAAGAATGAGAATTTTTACTCTGTGATGGTTAATGATTTAGTGTCTGCACACATACCTGTGTCTGGTTTATGCTCTTATGTTTAAGAAGGATCAGATATAGCTTTCAGAATAAGAATTATCTTTTAGAGTAGGAAGAGGATTAAACTAAGATCCCTTAACTTATATCATGTCAGGACACTATTATCTGGCATTAGAACTTCTGTCCAAATTTCAGAGACAGTCTTATACCTCCACCCCAGACCAGCACCTGGATTTCTGAACAGCTCTCAGGTTTGGAATCCCGCATCTCCTGTGCCAGCTTTTCCATCTCCTGCCCAAGAGCTCATCAGAACTTCCCTGTAACGAGTATTTGATTCTTTCCCTTTCCTTATGTGTGTTGGGAAGCATGAACAATTTACAGTAAGGTGGTTGATTTTGATCTGAGTTTATTCTCTGATACTGTAAAAGAAGGGGTTTTTAATTTCTGTAAGGTCATGGTTCTTCAACTATTTTTTCAGTTTCTGTGTTGTAGGCAGGTTGTTCCTCTCTATTTTCTTTAAAAGAAGACTAGAGAAGGGCCAGTCAGTTTTCAAGCATATGGATGGCTGAGTTTGTGCCTCCAGGCAGGACGCTGGGATTTGTCTCCCAGGAGAGAGGTGGCAAACCTGGCAGGGTTCTGACACAGGGGTAGCAGGCAGTTGCTGTTTGTGCGGGTGCCAGCATCATCCAAAGGGGATGGGAGGTGCTGGAAAGGACATTTAGGCTCTTAGTCAGGAGGCTCAAGTACAGGAATCCAGCAGCACTGCGCTGAGGAAGGCTTCACACAGCATATGCAAGCCAGGCAGAGAAAGGCAGTTTCAAGGTATGACAAAGAAAACGGAGGAGGGAAGACAGGCTCATATACTTTGGGAAATGAGGGCATTCAGAAGCAAGGGAAGGGCAGACTTTGTTTAAATCTTAATGAAAGCAAGACACTAGCACTTGAGTGATGGCATGAGTACTAAAAGAATTTTTTAAATTAAAATTAAGAGAATTGAGGAAATGAACATTCAGGAAATGAAAATGTAAGCAAGGCTGTAGATACAGATGCCAGCAATTTGTTTGGAATGATTTATCCATTGGGGGCTAAGTTGTGGGAGTCCTGTATTCTCAAGCAAAACAAAAAAAGAAAGGACCAAAGTTTTCAATAGTCATCTAGGGGATGAGAGCAACAACAAGGGAAAGAACACAGAGGAAAACCTTCTGCAAGGCACGCTGCTTCTACACAATTGTAGAAATCTGAGAAATAACATTGGAGAACAAGTCTTACATGCAAATATTGACGTACATCTGCAGGAAACTTGGTTAATCTCCAAAAGGGAAACTGCAAAAAAGGAGGAAGCCTAATTAAAGGCAGCAAAAAGGGATAGCTTGGAAGAATTCTCTACAGGCTAGATGGGGGCTATCTGAAGACATGCACAAATGCATGTGTGCACCCCCCGCCTCCAGTGCTGAATCCAAGGATGGAATACCAGAAATACAGAACTGGGGCCAAAAAAGACTTAACCAAGTCTGATGGGTAACAAGAACACCTAAACAGCTATGCGTGGAAGGGCGGATGGTGTGCTAGACTAGAAAGGATTG